AATCCTCTAATTTTAGGGACAAAAAAAAAACCTGGTGACCCTCTGAGTAGGAAATACCATGTTGAGAATGCACAGAAACCTTACACATTTTTAATGCAAATAGCATAAATGGTTCGGTTCAAAATCAACTTATAAATGGCCATCGCATGACTTCCTTGTTCAATCCCTTAATTCTCACAATCTAATTTTCTCCTGAAACCGGCTTAACCATGTAGCTGCCAGACCACTATGGTTAGCATGTTGGCTGTATTACAAGAAGCTTTCAAAAGGCCTGTCATCATCAGACCGAGACTGCAAAATAACCCGCTATCTTCAGACTCAGGATATTTTCCTGAAGCTCAAAATTGCGTCTTCACCAGACTGATACGCTCATCACAAACTATCTCGGACAGGCGCAAATTAGCCCGCTATTTCCCAAATAGCGGGATATTTTGGAAACAAGACCAAGATATTTCGCACTATTTTCTCGACCAAATGTCCTGCTAATTGCAACTGCGGGCTGATGAGGACGCACATTAGCTGACCAATTTGCAATTGGGATAGTTAAAATAGCGGGTTATTTGGCAAACTAGAGCTGATGAGGACAGGCCCTAATATATTGGCTGTAACAAGAAGCTTTCAAACAGAGCCAGAGTGCACTTCTATTACCCCCGAAGTATTTGATTTTCCTGACCAGTGTTAATAGTTCAGATGTATTCAATCGATATCATGCGGTGAACCAGGCAAAGGTATTAATAATATATCCCTTAACACCGGCAAGGGATCATGTCATAGGTTCACTCGGTCACGAGACTTGCTTCGGGGTCCCATGGGGGGAAAGAACGCGAGCGAGACGTTAGCAACCATTAATTGCGCTCTTCTCATTAATCATTTCCCGTTTAGGGGTGAACATTCAGGTTGCGTTGCTCACTGACTTTACACCTTCATTTTATTCAATCCTGTCTCTCTCACATTGTGCACCCGCAAGCCTACTGTATACCTTCATTTTGGTCCCTCGATCACCTTCCTATACCTCGGACTCTCTCCTGTGTTTGTGCTTGCAAACAGTTGCTAATTATAGCTGCAGATTTTACAGTGGGATTATTCAGAATGTTCTTGTTGGCCCTGTATTTGAATATTTGGAATGGAAAAGAATCTTTATCACTGCCGTGCTGCCAAGATTGCAGAACATCCTGTGTTACATCCCTTTAGCAGTTCTGAGAATAGATAGTTGTGTTTGTTGGGATTTACCTTGACTATAAGCCTGTGCTTCCCAGTTTATTAAAATTGAAAGAGAAACAGAATTATTTTCTAATCAAATGATCTGAGGATCCTGGAATTGCAGTCTGACCATTGCTTTGTTATTTCAGCCATTTGATGCCATGGTTTTCTTTATGCTCCACAAGAAAACATTCTGATGACTTGGACAAACTCGGACAGACTAGTAATCGGGAGGCTGTTGAACATATAGCTTCGCAATCATTCGCTTCATACACAGAAAATCTGTATTAATGTTTACAAAGTAATAAGTACTTCATCTCATTTTAAGTGCATTTTGTACAGGAAGAAGCATAATAAACTGATATTTAATGCCCTGTATGGACCTCTGAATGTTGGCTATGTCTCTTGAGGTTCTTATACTGGATCAGCTTAATATCAGTTTGTGAAGACGGATTTAAGATTGTTTTACTTCTACTGATCGGTCTCTTTGGACATTGGGGTTGTCCTCAATCAACCTTGGCCGTGGATTTACATCCTTGAAACGTATCCAGAAAGCGAATTCGTAGCTTAAGTAAAGACACGTTAAAGACATCGGGATTAGCGGCACTTCAAAGGGTCAGGCAGTTATCCGTTCTGACAAGTGCCTCTTTGGTCTCATCAAGAACTGTGCAGTGATTCCACTGACATTGAACTGTTTCCAATTGTATCCTCCAGCCCTGCATATCCAGTAAACTGTAAAAGAGTGTAATTGGGACAATCTCAAGGAATAGGAGCCAAGGAGGGGGTGACCTAGCCTCCAAGACGTTAACCCGACCCCATATACAGTTCTGACAAATGCCTTTGGTCTCATCAAGAACTTTGCAGTGATTCCGCTGACATTGAACTGTTTCCCATTGTATCCCCCAGCCCTGCATATCCAGTAAACTGTATTAAAAGAGTGTACATTCTCAAGGAAAAGGATTTAACCCTTTGCCTTCTGGAACCGGGTGGTCTCTGTATTAAGCCTTTGAGAACCAGAGAATTCAGTAGTCAACAGGTTAAAGAGTGAAATAGGAGACGAGGAGGGGATGACTTAGCCCTTAAGACGTTGACCCGACCCCCTATATTTGGCTCCTACTTCCTATTCCCGAGTTCAAGACTTCAAACCTTAATGAGTTGCGCTAAATTGCCATGAGAACCAAGAGGAAGCAACTAATTTTCATGTGTGCAGCTAGGAACAGTAGCAGCGGTATTTATAGTGATTACCAAGGATAGGTAGATTAATTTTCACCATAGCTAGGCCTCCTGCGTATTGTTTTCCATGCATGGAGATTCACCGCATGACTGCCAGCTTGGAACCTTCGATTCAGTCACAGGAAAGTTTGTTTAGGCAACACCAGAAAATTGTACAGGTTCTGTCTTACATGACTAAACAACTAGCATTTTATTTGTCATGAGATCACAAGCAGGAATATCAAATGATTTGGAGAGTGCAGTGCCTGTGATAGGCTGTCAATAACTGTTCCTTGTGGAGATATATTCTTGGATTAGATGTGTTTGGAAATTGCTTTTGCTGTGATTGTTTTGTTTCACACTGCTCTGTTGTTAACAACTATACTTCAAGGGATCAATTTATCACATGCAGCTTGGAGTTGAATCATCTTGTGGTTTACTGATTCACGATTAGCTGTCATCACAGAGTGCACGGTCTTGTAGTGTATTGTCAAGTATACAGTCACCCAGAAGACAGAACTATTAAACCAGTTTGCCATTCTTTTGATCTAATTGTAGTGCTGTCTGACAATAGACACTGGTGACACTTGACTAACTATCTTTAATTGAATTTGATTTCTGAGAGAGAGAGACGTAACGGACAACGTGCCTGAAACATATGCTGCGTCATCTTTCCTCTAATAGCCTACACCGTAGCCCCCTCAGATTCCTCTCCAGTTAATTTAGACCGCCGAAGAAAAAGAACTGCAAATGGTTGGAGTTTAGTGCAGTCTAGGCCTGAAACGTGACAGGATAAAGCCATAGGCTTAAGCGTGCCGGGGTTTTAAAGGGATTAGTCAGCGGAGTATCCAAGCAAATGCCTGTGAGCAGCTTTATCACGACGACATCAAACATGGTGTCCCGAAATGAACATGGTACCTCCACATTGGTATGTGACCGGGGATATATGGAGTTGGGATTAACCTAATTCTTAGGACTGTCTGGGAGCTGGATTTAAAGATTAAGAATGTTATTTGCCACCGTTCCTGTATCTTTTGAATTTCTTTTTGTTACTGTTGAACATGATATTTGATAAATGATTTTATGGGACACTCTGTGGTAGAGTTATGTTTCCATATGATGATATTATGCTATTATCAAATCTACTACTTTCATGAGTTATTGTATTTGGTTTCACTGTAAGAATATTGAGCTTGAGACTTTTAAAAGTCATAAACCATCAATGGAAACATTTAGCTGTTGAGGTTGAGCATGAAAAAAAAGCATAGACCCACATATATAATTATTTGTTGGATATGCTTGTGTGTTTGGATAGATGTTCATTTGTTTGATATGCTATTTGTGTACTTAGTATCTACTTTATTGGATAATTTTTTTAGCACAAGGCTAATCTACCACCATGCATGTCCATTTGAAAATATTTACATAGTCCTGTGATACCTCAAAAGTCAATTTGAGGTTTTAATGATTATTTTATCTTTGAAATTTGATTTAAATATTTTCTGTGGAGAAAAGAACTTTACATTTTTATACATTTATGTCTATATATATATATTTTCATTAATTTTTGTTTTGCTTCTAAAAAAAATAATTAAACTTTAACAAAGTGCATCAACATTCTTGAGCAAAATTTTCTGCTCATGGCATGAAGGTATTCCAAAATTGATGACATTCTCTATGCATTACGATTACGCGATCATTTCTATCTGTAAACAAATACATTTGATGATAAGTCCCTATAAATCGCATTGGATGATCACTTCTTTCCATAACCCTGTGATGTTTGATGACATATAATTTTTTTTTTCTTATTCATGTGACATTTATGTGAAAAATTAGCACTTCTTTGTTACTTGTGTAACTAAATAGATTAATCTTAGTTTACCTCTGTCGGCAGATTTGAAACCAATAATCAAGACTCCAGATGTTTGTAAATAGTGGGCTTGTGAGAAATTCATCATCATTCATCACGGCAAACATATTCTGTCTACCCGACCCCAAAAATTTACATGTTACTATACAAATTATACAAGTGTACTGGTACTACGTGGCAAATGACAGTTGACAGTTGGTTGAAGTGACATTAAATCCTCAAAGTCGAGTTGTCAACTGTTTCAAATCGACCCTTTGCTTATGTGTGTTCTTCATATGTTACACTACAGCAATGGTAACCACCTTTATAGAAAGAACACCTGTCAATGAAGACCATATTTTGCCCCCCCCCCCCCATTTAGTGTTTCTCATTGGAACCTTTACATAAAGACCACAATACTGATACTCACTTCCTCTATAGAGCATATCACACCTACATGCTGTATTGAAAAGCATAGCAGAAACAAAAAATAGATGAGGTATAAACTGGAAAAGTGAAAATTGGTTGACAATAACAATAAGCAAGAGGTAACAATAGAAGATGCCCTTCAATCTGCTCATTGAGATATCTTTTCTTATCACCCTTGAGAAGTCTTCCTACAGGTTTTAAAGTGTCGCAAGAAAAGCACTTCATTGTCCATAAGTGTCTTATTTAAGGCCGTTGAATAATATCCCATAAGTAAATATTGAGGATCTTCCTTGTTCTATCATTCCAGATGAGGCGGAAGATCAACGATGCATTCCGCCGGAAGCCTCATCATCAGAAGACGGAGGACGACAGGATATCGGTGACCTCGGAAGGAAGTGATTCTGAGGTCAATGAGCAAAGTGAGTGCACTTTTGTATCTTTGTTGCTATGTCAGGCACTTTTTACCATTGCCTCCAGAGACAGATTGTGAGGCAGGATGGCCTGAGAGGGTACATTGGTATACAAGCAGCCAACAAAACAGTCAGTCTATTAACCCTCAGGAAAGAGAAAGCCTCATAGACCAAATTATTGGTCTTGGGGTTTTGTTCTGATGGGCCGGTGATCTCATAAATTTCTGATTATAGTTCAGGGGTCTAATATGAGACCTAGACAATCATCAAATTCATGGGCTGTCTGTCTCATTTGCTTTTTACTTTGTGTGAAACCTGTGATATACTGTGTATAAGGGTTTTTTGGTTATCGCATGTTTCATAATACTTTATTCTCGGATCTTGAATTTTCATCCGTTCAAATGTTAATGAGAAAATTTAAACGGGAGAACTGCGCTATAAAGTTTTTTGACAGATTTAAGCAAGGCTAGAGGAACTGGAACGTTTCAGGTATCAGCTTTAGTAGGGTGCAGACAAGTTTTTGATTAAAACAACAGCTCTATATGATCTGCCTTTGAGTTGATATGTGGACATAGTTCCCTTTTGATTGAGCATACTTGCTGAATCAATTGAATACTTAATAGAAAATGTACACTGTATGAAAATGAAAGTTTGTTTTTCAAGTCTCATTATTTTGATATTTCAGTTTCAGCCAATAATTTCCTGTTTGATTTTCACTATTTATTGGGTTTTTCATATTTTAATTGCATGTTGTATTGTAAAAGGATATCCTGCTTGAATTCAAAGAATACTGAAATATGATTTGGAATAACACGTTCAACACAGTGCTGTGAACTTTATTATCTATTAATGGGATAAAACGGTTTTGATAGGACACTACTTGATCAAATCGAGGACAGTCAAATACTTAAAGACACTTTATAGGAGTGGGCTGTCATGGGGAAATTGACACCATTAAGGTGTCTACCTAATAACAGATGTTGTCAATCACCAGGATTAGCCTTCAGTTTTACGACCAACAGGCCTTTTGTTTTATGTATAATAATATATATATATCTGTAAAGTGCTTTGAGAGGGCCATCGGTCCTGAAAAGCGCTATATAAGAACTAGCTATTATTATTATTATTAATGCTTTGCATTTTCTGTGCATTCTCTCATGCAAATGCAATTGAAAATTCTTCTAAAATCGATCCTGTGGCCGTATAGATTGATCTTTTATATAATTATTAACTACCAGTATTTAAAGCCGGAAGGGTGTTAACTCATATCATTTTACACAGAGTTATTGTCCTTCTTGCTCTCAGATTATACAATATGAAAAGAATTCTTATTATGAATTAATCTTCATTAATTAGCACTTTGCAATATACATAGCATGCACATACATTACATACCGATATGTATTCCATGACGTGCTGTCGTAGGTACTTCCCCTGTTTAGTTACTATGGTTACATGGGTGTGACCTGGAGAGGGATTTGTACCCATAATCCCTGTTGTGTAGGCAACTGATATTTATATCTTACCCCGTCTAAATGAACTGGGAAATTGTTTAATCTTATTTCATCTTTTTTTTTGTAAATGGAGATCACAGCGTTGAAAGATAACAGATCTGTTGTTGTTTTTGTTGTCATGGTGGTTTATTTGTTGTTGCTGTTGTTTTGTTTTGAAGTGGATTTAAAGGACAGATGGGAGTAATTTGATCCAAAAACACAAAACAACACACATAGCAAACAGAATAATAAAGTTATACTCGTATTAGAATAATTAAATTCAATCATCTGACGACTTTGATGAACCATGTCATTGTGCTAGGGTAATAATTTCCAAAGCTCTTTGGAAAGCGCATAGAGATTTTATTTCATGACGTATTATGCACTATACAAGAACCGAACTATTATAATATTATTATTATTATTGTGGTACATGTATGCGGGTCCTGCTTTAGGAAGTTCAAACTGTCTGTAGCACTGTGAGGGTTAAGAGTAATTTGTGTGCCTCAATTGATGATTTTATTTAAATTCAAATATAAAAATAAAGTTGTGAAAACAAATAGAATTGAAGTACAGTGTTATCATATCAAGTCGATTTTGATTTATCATTATTGATTTACAAAGATGCCATTGGACTATTGGTCAAATAATACTTTGCTCCTTATCATCTATCATCTAAGCTGCTTTTAACAACTTATATATCTGGCAGCCTTTTGTCTAGATCTTTTAGCTCCTTGATAACCATAACACTGTTTTTTTGTATTTGTCTTTCAAATACGAATCTTAGTTTGAAACTTGTTATTACAACCTTATTTATTCAATCTAGTTTTGTTGGCATCATAACAAGACAAACAAAAATCATAAATACAAAATACTTAATACAAGGCCAGGGGATTGTTTCACAAAAGACTAAGATCGACTTTAAGTCGGACTTATATGGCAGGCTCTACATGCCACTGGTTGCTCTCACCATTATTATCTTTAGATAATATCTTTTCCTTCAATAATGAATTATCAACAAATTTGAGTTCTGTGATCATGATTTGTAAGTCCCTTGAGAGACCAATGCCAGTAAATGGTGAGAGCAAACAGTGGCATAAACCGCCTTCCATATTTAAGTCCGACTTAAAGTCCTTCTTAGTCTGTGTGAAACACTCCCCAGGACCCCTAAGAAGAAACTTGTGCTTGTAAATGAGGCCTCTATCAAGGTCTTCTGGAAGATTAACAGTTTTTATATTCACCAGTCACCAACATGTGATAGTTATTACAACCTCTATTTCTCTGTCAGTATTATCCATGCAAATACCAATATTGAAAGAAGACACTAGTGGGTGAAGAGTATGTTGATAGCTACTTTCGATCTGAAGTAGGGGCTTCCGCTTATGTATCAACGCTCAACGCAATAATAACCAATTCCATCCATATATGTAATAGCTCTCATTAGTTGAATTAGTTTCGATTCATTCAAAAATTTGCATGTGGACATTGTCTGTTTGAGAGCCAGAGTTGCGCTTTCCTCATATCGTCGGTGTTATTATGAATGCACAAATTCTGTTATATATTACGGTATGGATTTGTCAGCTCATAATAATATCGATGAGGATATATATATCTTTTCAAAAAGCATTGAGTTGATAACCTTCTTGCTTTCAACAGACATATATTTACATGTCAAAAGTTTTACAAGTTACTAGGTCTCTACTTTCAATACACATGTAGGTCCATACGTGCATGTATATACAGCGCAACTAAATAATTCATACCCTAACCAAGTTTTGTAATTTTTCAAGGAAGTGAAAAATTGATTTGACCCAATTTATGTTTCTTGAGAATGTGACATATTCAAGCTTAAAGTATTCAACAAAGGCCCTTATTCAACCAGTCTCTCTTTCACTCTTGAGTTACAAACACACAGAAAATACAAATTTTACAAAGGGTATGTATAATTTAGTTGTTAAAACTGTATATCGTCGCTGTTTTCACGAAGTGACGGTAGTGAAAAAAATTGCATTCACTTTGCGTTACGATTTTCCTCACTACCGTCACTTCGTGAAAACAAGGACGATATGTACATTCTTGGGTCTCTGTATACAATATACATATTATCAATCTCTTCCTTTGTAATAGTTTTTATGGTTTAATTAGAATATTTATCAACAAAAATTATGAGGAAAAAATGTGTTGATAGTGATACAACATAGATATAAAATGAAACTTATTATGTATAATTATCTATTAGATATTTGAAGATATCTGACTTGAATTGATCATATATTATTCCACCCTAATAAACAAGAATTATTTAAAAATATCTCTAAAATGCAAGAATTAAGGCATTCTTTTTTGATATGTGAACATGTATAGATAATAGCAAAAAGTGAGAAGAAAAAAAAAAACCTCTAATATATTTGTGCCTTTCCTTGAACTCGGCCGTAATACAACATTGATCTCATTGCCAAGTTATGGTGGCTTTGAAGGGATATCATGTTCAAATTTAGCTCCACTCAACTTGTTTTTTCCTCTGTGAGCGGAACCGATATGGCTACGGAGGCCCGAATCTCTCCTTTTGGGGAAATTGATCCAATTTTGTTTCTCGGCTATGAGAGCATTTTCTTTTTATTTCCATGATACTTGCATCAAGGGCATGGTCAGCTATTTTTTAAATATAAGATAGGTATCTTTGAAGTGTTAATGTATTAATATTTCAAAAGATAACCATACTTGTATTTTCCAAACTACAAACTGAAAGTTGCCAAATATTACATATAAATGTATTTGTCAATAAGATAGATATTGGTAATCTGAAGACACAAATTAAGGTGATCTTAATTCTGTAAAGATGAACTGAATTAGACATACAGTATGCTAAGGGTAATTTCAAGAGATGAATTTGTAAGATGTACTATTCAATATTTTTTGGTTATTATCTAATTGATAAATCATACATAAATTATATATTATTGTCATATTAACATGCAGAATAGTCTTTTTTCCAATTTGCAATCAAGTTCTCAACAAAATCTTATGAATCTTCAGAAGTTTAATGAGTGGGACTTACACTTAACATCTGGTAATAATAATAGAAAAAGTTTCTTACAAAGATAATTACTCTCTAAAGTAAATTTGTGGGTTCCTACAGTTAAGAATAGGCTACATGTAGAGTGCTACTTTTGTTGGAAAATTGTAGTTTGCCCAAGTGTATTTCAGTCACTGTGACCAATTTTGTAATCTTTCAAACTATTTTGAAACTGGGTTAATTAGGCACTCATTAACTATTCAAAAGTATAATTGGATCAGTTAGGATGTTAGCTTATTACATATTTGCTCCAATAACCTAATTAGCGCATGACTGTGATTATATACTTTTCAGGCTTTTACTCTAATTTCTGACAATGGATATTTTGTGCTTGGCTTGAACTAATTTTTAGTTTGATTACTCAGAAATTTGAAAGTAAATTGTAGCTGGGATGGCAATATCTAATGTGACATTGTAGCCCTGACACCGTATCCTTGCAG